GACGCGATCATACGTGTTGAAGATGTTTGCCATAAGAGACATATGCATGTATGTAGAGTAATAGATTCTTGGGCAAAAGTATTTTCATGTTTTATTCTAATTTTTTTTACAGGATAGGCTTACTATCATACAAGAAGAATGGACGAAGCTAAATTTTGGTGATAAAGAAGAGAATGACGACGAAGATAATGATATGTTTGTTCTTCACAAGCTTTATTAAAGTGAATCGACAACATGAACGAAGATAAACCAAAAATGATAGCGTTAAATAAAACTTTATGGTTCTATTTATATTTTTGGTATAACGTGACCGCTAATTCTTAGGTAGATTCTTGGGAAGACTCATTTTAATATTACAAATAATAAGCGACATAGTTAGCAAGCCATATCCTGTTTACTGTTATTTCGCCTACTATTCTAATTATCCCACCTTTTATACAAAATCCCCCAAAGTTTATATAAAGAAATAATCTCATTGTTTTACTTTATTGCGACTGGGTAGAAATTTAATTGGGGCAAATTTTAAATTTTCATCATTGTTAACGGAAATTTTGCCGACTTGGTGTAAAATTTTCGCTGCTGAAGATATTTCATATCTAAAATTCGATAATGAAATTCAAAGTTTAACACTGTTGTTGCTAATTGGACTTATAAAAAACTGCGCCATTTGGACTTGTCTAAAAAAATGACAACCCTGCTTTAGTTTTCTATCAAAATACGATTATAAATAAACGATTTCATAATGAAAATGATATTGGCAAGATCAAAATCCAAGCATTCTGACTGTATCATATTCATAAAATCTCCATATTCATGACTTGACTGTTTTTTACGTGTAATTTTTTAAAAATTTTAGTGATCGAATTTTACTATAAATATAAATATTTCATATAGGGAGAAATCCGTGAGAGTAAAAATCGAGGTCGTTAAACGGATAGATCAATTTTTTTTGTGTAGTGTTGTTAAAATTTGGCATGTTAACAACTTGATAAGTAATGTATTAATACAAAATTTGTCAGTTAAATTAGTCCATTATTGTTCTTTTTTAGTTCTTTGATAAACAAAAAAATTCGATCCAAAAAAAGGGGATGTCTATACACGGTAGTATTATTTCGTTTGCCTAATATTTTAACGGCTACAAAAACAATGCTTGACAACATACGATATTATGGCAAGAAAAGTAACAACAGTGGCAGTCAAGGAGGAAGAGGAAATGAATTGAATCGGATACTTTGACATTTAATTTTTTGGTGACATTCGGAGTTATATCAAAACAATGCTTACGATATTTTTCCGAAGTGTGAGTCGGAAATCTTGCCGGAAGGAGTTTTTTACATATAAAAATTCCACAGCCAAACTCATATTTCCGTCATTTTGTCTGCCAAAATGGAACCTACCAGTCAAAATGAAACCGAGTCTACTAAAACCACGGGGGAGATAGTAAGCTCCAAAGAAGAGGTTGAAACAAATCAAGAAGTAACAGAAGAGCAGACAAGAGAGGAAATCGAAACAGTTAGCAACATTCTCTCCTCTGATATTGACAAGGATAAATCTAAAAATGCATTAATGCTCGAGGCTGCCAAGAAAGAAAAGGACAAAGGAAACGAGTACTTTAAGGCCGGCAACATTGTTGAAGGTATGAATCAAGTAATACTGATCAAAAATTGTTCTTGACGTGAATTCTCATTATCTCTACGATTAATTTGCTAGCTTTACGGCACTACCATCAAGTAATTGAATTCTAAAGGAATTCCTGTCGTTATGAAGAAACAGCAATACTAAGTTTCGTCGCATTTTCTTTAGGCATTACTTAACATCAATGGTATACAAAACAACAAATCACATGCAATCTTTCGTCACGAACAAAACAAGGAAGCTGAAAAAGATGAATTGCAAGAAGAGATTATAAAGACTCAGGCGCTTATACATAGCAATCTGGCTGGTAAAGTTTATCAACATCTGCAAGCACTCATATTATTAGTAATTAATTCTTCCTTCATCTGAACTTTTAATTTTTGTCTTAGCCTGCCATATTAAAGGTAATAAGCCTTCACGCGCTATTGAATGTGCAAACAAGGTAGATTGTAATGCTGATGTAACTTTTATGCAGCTTCGTAAGAGTCTACTTTATATTTATGTAACTTTTTCTTCGTGAGATTAGGCTTTGAAACTTGATCCTGACAATGAAAAAGCCCGATTTCGACGTGCTCAAGCTTATATTTCTGAAGGAAATATTGATGCCGCAGCGGCAGATTTAAAGAAACTATCAAATCCCGATGGTACCTATTTAATTCGACAATCTTGTACATAAAATTAGAGTTTCCTTTTTTTTAATTGACATATATTTTTATACTTTACCCGGACCAAAAAAGATCCTATGGTTAAGCGTGAATGGCAGCGACTTAAGATAAAAGACAAAGAAATGGAAGCGAAACAACGAAAAGACTTGAAAGGAATGTTTGAACGAATGAAGAAACAGGACGAAAAGGAGGAGGCTGAAAAGAAAAAAAAAGATGCAGAATTACAGTCAAATACATCACTACCAGAAAATTCGGCAAACGAACCAAAGATCAAGGAGCTTGAGCCGGAAGTCGACGAAAAAGAGCCAAAAATCCAAGAAATAATCCAATAAACAGTATTCCCGAATTACTTTGAGGTATCGAGACGAATTAAGATAAAAATTAATTGAATTTTTATTGCATGTTATTGTTACACTAATTATTAGAATTTGATGCATATCACATTTTAAATGCACCAAGATCTACGTCAGTATCTTTAATTATTTATATAAAACTGATTTATTCTAAATTGTATTTATATTTTTCTTATTCATTTAGCTCGTCTATTAAAAGATAAAATTCTCTAGTATGAATTATAATAAATAAAATTTTTTTATTATTAGCACAAAATTATTTATAAATAATAACTACAATAAGAAATTCGCTTTATCCTTCGAGATTATTGGTTCTAAAGTTTTTTTTTTTTAAGGAGTTTTGTAGATTAGATGGAAATAGTTGCCTTCTCGGATATTTTTGAACATTCAGGCTAACGCAAGGTTCTGATCTTCAGTATAATGCGGAGCAATGATGATTTTGCTGATCCATTATTCACCTTAACGGATAAATTAAGAATAAACTCTGTCCATGATACCTCTGGGGTAGCAAGATTTCTAATTTCCATTTACGTCCAACTCTTCGTCATCCGACTCATGAATGTATTTCTTTCTCTGTTCCTTTTTTTTACGTTGTGGGGAGCTACTATTATAAGAATCTGTGACTGTTGATGAATCGTCTTCGTCGGAGCTAGATGACATTAGATCATCTGATTTTTCACTTTTGGCCGGTTTTAAAAATAATGAAGCGTATCTTAATTTCTAATCAACAGAATAAAATATAACAACAAATTATTCAATGGTTTAGGAGGTGTAATAAACACATTACGACCAAAAAGAAAAAAAAAAGTGTTCTCTCTACCTTTTGCATGTATATACTTTATGCGTAACATTAAAGAGCAAGATATTGTCAATTTCCAGCAGGATACGCACCATCACTACCAAAATTTAATATCACTCACCTTGATCTAGAAAATAATCGATCAGAATCAGGAACATCAGACTTACGTTTTCGATCAGAAGAACTACGCAAGAAGCTATCAAACCCTTTTACTAAATTTCCCATGTGATTGGTTTCTTCGAGGTAAATTGTTTCAGCGTAGTAAACTTCTGCTTCATCTTCTTTCTTTTGAATATTTAACAAAGATTATTCGGACGGTAGCTGACACTTTCAGTAAACAGCTAATTAATTAGTTGAGAAACAAAGTAATAGTTACTCACCAGTTGTTCAGACAGTTCGTTTCCTTTTGCTTCATAACTTGCAAGAAGTTCTTTGGCAGCTTCATATTCTGCAAGTGTCGGCGTCGATTTCTTTTTTTTTTTTTTTGTTTAAAGAATTTAAAGATAAGCTATATATTTAATTAAAATTTTTAAGTCAAACAAGGTACCTTTGGTTCAGTAGGTTCAGGCATAATAATAGGTTTCGATTCTTCAAGATTATAAAAAACAGGCGTCAGTTAATGTTCTTTCACGAAATAGAATGTACAGCGTATCGACATTGTTAGATCAACCTCTAGGATCTACATTTCAAAAAAACACAATGATCATTATCGTGAGAGCAGAAGTCAAAATCGATAGCCTTTTTTTTTTGCTGGCAGGGACTAAGAAATAACAATCATTTTTTAAATATTATCATTATTTATTATCACTAAATACAAAAAAATAAATATTTATTATTAAAATCATGATTGATCCATTGCCATTAAATTTTCCTCGATTTCTGTTTCGGCTGCAAACATCATTCTTTGTTCCTCTTCAACTAAGCGAAGGAACTCCTCTTCATCATCGGACATATTATCATAGTTGTTATTGGTACTGATATTGGGATTTTTATTATTAATATTACTATTTTCGTTGTTATTAATGCTTTTCTCCTTGTCATCATTTTTCTTGTTCTTGCTTTCGGAAGAGGTGGTGGTGGTGATAGATTTGCTCTTCTTTTTATCATTATTTTTGTTATTACTATTACGTTTAACTTTATGAATTCCATTAGCTCTCATAGGACTAGGAGTGGTGTTGCTACTATCACAATTAGTATTGTTGTCTTCTGCATCACTTTGATTACGATCATTTAACTGTGAGAGAGGAGAACGCATGCCATCATTTTCTTCTTTCTCATCATCGTCATCAATATTTTCATCATTCGTTTCAGATTTAATTTGAAAAATGATCGACTATTTCTACATCCTGTTCAGTAACAGAAACCTCCATTATCCGTATTTATTTCATTTATTCTAGTTTAAAAATAATTAAATTACTCTCATATATAGAATCTCTACAATAACGACGACGTAAATTTTTTTACACTTGCAAGCCAGCAATAAAGTTAATAATAATTGCAATTACTCAACGCACTAAATTTTTGACTTAAACTTACCACCTACAGTCCAAAAGCAACTGATCTTCGAATAGCATAGTAAAGATGTAGGAAACAAACTTAATATGTAATGTCCTTCTGTCCGATTTTCTTTGAGGTCCTCACCATGTCTATCACTTTAGATTGTTTCGTCAAGGAGGTACAGGTACACCTTTCTCTGTCAATATCAATAGGAACCAGCATGTCAATTACCTCAAGGACACTATAAAGACGAAGTCGTCTAGATATATTGATGCGGACGAGCTCAGGTTATGGGCGGTCAAAATCCTCTTTTGTGCATGGCTAAAATCATCTTGTTACGCGTTGCTTGTGTGCAGTCATGTGCGCATTGTGTGACTGTGCAAAGAAGAATGTCGCAATTCTGTTGACCACATGTGATATCCGGAAAAGTATTCATGATGCTATTTACTATGATCGCAAAGCATATATCGAGGTTGCCGGTGCCATTAAAGGGTTTCTTTAGTACTTGGCCACGTTGGTTTCGTAGATTGTAAACGTTGTTACCGTTGACCTCGTGAATATAATGTCACTCATTACTCCATTGGGCTTTAAACTTGTCCCCTTTTAGCGCGTGTTGCGTCATGTTGTAAATTAACACCTTTTCGCCAATGTCGAATGCCTTGGTCCGCCGGAGTTTCCGATCGCAAATTCAAAATTTTTCTTAATGCTTTCGTTACCGTATCACTATCCTCGCCGCTTACGAAGAAGTGAGCACCAACATCTTAACATCACCAACTATCACGAACATATAACGTAAAAAGATGCCATAAATGTTTATTGGGATGCTGAGGAAGATTTGATCAAGTTTACACCACGTGAAGATGAAGAATTTCGCCCATTGAGAAAGATTTCGAATTAGTTTTAAGATTA